ACGTTGTGAGAATATAGTAATGAGACGTGTTCTCTTCACTAGCACTGAATTTTGTTACTCTAACTAGTAATTTCCCAATATGCAGATTATAGTTACCCAATATCTCTACACTGTAAAATGACATAATCCCCAATCGTACGTATATAGATAGAGAGAGAAAAAAAGATTGTAGCTGTACCTTGTGAAAGCGGTAGTGGAGGAAACATTTGTGGCAAGTGGAGTTGCGGGGCACGATCCTTCCTTAGGCTGATCGTAATGATAGTATCATATCTAGTATTATGCATGCTAACTAGACTATTTTGCTAAGGTGGCATAAAATTAAATGAAGAAAGAGAGTGTTGAGTATCATATCATGATACTGTATCATATTAAATGTTATGCTATTATGTGTTATGCATGACAATAAATAAGGTTACCTATAATACTAATATATGATGCTGTGCATTACGAAGGTAGTATCATAACTTAGTATCATGTGCATGATATTAAGGTATGATATTACCCATTACAAACAGCCTTACTTTGCAGAGAAGGAAATCCCCAGCACAAGACAGGTCCAAAGAAGCTGATTCGACAAAGGACTTCCTTGGTAACTCCACCGCTCTCCTCTCATCCACCTGTGTGAAAGATAGTGTAAATAATTGCAGGCAACGCACAGCCCACAAGAGGAGTACTACTACTAGTAGTACTAGTAGAGTAATTACTGTTATCCTCTTTCTCTCTCCTCTCATCTGCTCTTTTCAAACCTCTCTCCCCCTCTTGCTGACTGCCAACAACATGACAAGCAAGTCTCCACATCATGACATCACAGTCTCAACACCCTTCCAAACTTAACATCACCTTTTCATTAAAATAGTTATTATTATAGTACTCTGGAGTACTCCCTCCGTTCGAAAATACTTGTCATCAAAATGGACAAAAAGAAATGTATCTAAAACTAAAATACATCTAGATACATACTCTTTTATTCATTTTGATGACAAGTATTTCCGGACGGAGGGAGTACTAATTAGCCACCAGCAAAACCAAATCACAGCGATTGACACCTAGGCCCACATTATTCCGTGCCCCGATTAGAAAACAGTGTTCTTCAGAGTTGAGTACAGAGGAGAGAGCCCTAGAAAGAGAAAGTAGAGAGAGAGAGAGAAAGGGGGTTGGGGTAGGGTAGGGTCCAACAACTACTGGAGCCAAAAGTTCTCACATAAACCTTTCCTTCCTTCTCTCCCCTCTCCGCCCTATTTCTTCTTATCTTTCTGTCACACTGCCGCCTCCCTCGACTCGACTCCGCTCTTCCTCCGCCCCGCCCCGCCCTGCCGTCCGAGGAGAGGAGAGGAGAGGAGACCAAGGTAGGGTAGGCCGTTCCTCCTTCCTTGATCCTCGCCGATTTTACCTTCCGGCGTTGGGGATTTACCGGGCCTGCATTTCCGCCCGGGCGGAACAGATTAGAACGCGTTCACGAGGGGCTTCTAATCTGCCTAGGTCCTCGGATGCCCTCAACGGCCTCTCCGATCCTTCGTGCTTCCGCGTTTCTTTTTCCCCCACTTGTTTTTTAATTTTTGAAGATTTTGGGGGGTTTAATCTCCGCTCCTTTTTCGAGGATAAATCAATCAATCTCTTCTCGTGGTTTTCAACGACTACTCGTCATGGCCTTTCATCTTGGTTTTGGCTGAATTTTTCAGGAGATTTGCCGTTTTTTCTCTTCACGACGCAGCCGCTGCCGCTGCGAGGAAACAAAACAATCCCGTGAGGCAAGGACGGTTGTGAAGCAAAGGTGAGAATCAGATGATGATTGGTCAATCACACATGCCTTTATCTTTTTGTTTTCTTCGCCTTCTCCGTATGCCCATGCTTTCCTGATGCTTTAATCCAAGCCAAGGAACTACAATATGGAACCCTTTTAGTTTGGCTCTTGATTGGTTGTACAGTAGGAGTATTATACTAGCTGCAGCTCCTCGTGGAGTGATTCTTCTGTTTGCTCTTTTTTTCCCCAACCGAATCAGTAGATAGATTCTTCTAAATAAATTCTTCTATTAGATTAGAAAAGGCCGAACTTGTAAAATCAAGATATTGACACCCAAAAGGAAATTGCAGTGATCAAATGGCAGCCGAGTCCTCTGTTCCACAAACTTCCTCTGAATCGGCTGCTCACAAGATGGGCTTCTTCAGAGTCTCTGATCTTCTTGTCAAACTGAGCACCAAATGTTTGATTGAGTTGGATGCCGTCCGCAGCCCAACGTCTCCCTTAGACCTGAAATTGTTCACAGGCCTTGCTACCAAATCACCCAGATCGTCTTTCCTTGATGCCGGCGCAGCCAGCCAGAACCAAAAGATCTTGCTCGGGGACAGGGTTGGCCTTGGACTGGTGGATTCTCTCAGTCATGAAAACAACCCCACACCCTTGGGCAGCAGGAAGGTTCTCGGATCTGAGATGAGGATTACTGACAACTTAACTCTCAAGAACAGCTCCACTGCTCCTAATCAAGCTGGACTGCTTGAACAGAAAGATGAGAATATGAGTGATGGACTCAACGGTAGTATCATGTCCCTGGATGACATTGTCAATTCAGAGGATTACACCTGTGTTGTTACCCGTGGTCCGAACCCTAGAACTACCCACATTTTTGGAGACCGTGTTTTTGAGTTTCAAGCTGAGCAACTGATGCCTGATGAGGGTGGGTGTGAGGAGAGTTTGGCCCCTCATCTGAATGGGGATACCATGAGCTTCTGTTGTTTTTGCGGTGACAAGCTCAAAGAAGGGAAAGACATCTATATCTACCAGTAAGTGTTCTAGTAAACTAGATGCAACCATCGTTATGTTCTCTTTTTTGCTGGTTTAATAGATCTACTGCTGTTCTGATTGTTCGTTAATTATTTGTATCATGTCTTTCAATCGTAGGGGTGACAAAGCCTTCTGCAGCATGGAGTGCAGGGAGAACTTCATGGAAGATGAGATGGAAGGTGAACCTTCGATAGGTCACTCTGATCCCAGCTGCCCATCCTTTGACAATCGTCGCATTTTCCAACTGATCCAGTGACCAGCGAGCATCAGTAAACACTTGATGTGGTCGTATCTGAAGCGCTGTCTGAGGTTAATAAGCTGCAGCCATGGATGTGATCATGCTGATCAAGTTTTTGCCTGAAGATTTTGTCTGCTGCGGCACTGATGAATTTACCCCCCTTAATGATTTCTTTATTTTCGTTACCTGGATCCTCAAATTTTTGGAGGAGCCTGAACGATGACTGTGCTTCTGGTCATATTATTATTTTGATCGGAAAAGGGTGTGTGCGTGTGTTTGCCTGAGCCCCAATTTCAATTGGACGTCATTTTGTCGACGCCTATTGAGTATTGTGTCATGTATCTGAACCTAAGCTTCTACATGTATTTGCATGTGGTACACAATAATATTTGAGTATACTATCTTGTTCACCTTTCTTTCTGTGTTGGGTCTTCATTTGATGATTAGAGTTCTTATATGGCAAGAACTATCTGATTCTTGGCAGGAGTAGTGTCTGTTTGTGGCTGTGCAAATCATAACCCCCATGACTGGTACATTGAGATGCTGCCATCAGTTTCGGGCGACTGCATTTGTTTGAGTGAACTTGCCGAAACTTGGTTGTGATCAGTACTTGATCATTGAATTAGCCGACAAGTTGCTACTACTGTTAAGTGTCTAATACTGCGAATGGGGTCACTGTCTTCGGATTGGCTCCCTGTGTTCGTTAGCTCAGGAGTACCTGTCATTGCAGGTGCGAGAGCTAAGGTTGCCTTCAGATTTTTATGAAGGTAGTTCCGCGTGTTTGAGAGTTCATTTTTTTTATAATAACAGTACTTCATCGATTGATGAACATCATGACAAAGCTCGTCCCTGATACAGTCCGGAACCACACCATGATAAATACGATTTACATCCTGCTCATAACTCCGAGCTAATTTGTGTGCCGCTACATTCAAATCACGCCTGACATGTAAAAAAGAACATCAAGTAAACCCGGACGTGAGAGACTCGATGCCAGCGACAACAGCCCCCACTCTTTGATCGATCTTGGACCTTAGACTTGACTTGATCCTGTTCACCATAGAGAGGCAATCTGACACCTCGCGGGTCTGTCATAAAGCCTTCAGTTCAACAAACCTCTAGAGCACGCCGAATGGCAAGTGCCTCTGCCAATTCAGGTTCAGAAAAGCATTGAAGCTGCTCATTGCTGGCAACCAGGCACAGAGGCACTCACCAAGATGGTTCGTAGCCACAAAGCCCATGTCCATCCGCGGACTAGAGGGAAACAGCACCGCATCAACATCCACAGCCACCGAGCCTGCTGGTGGCGGAGTCCAAATGATAGTTGAACAAGATTCGCGCAAGGTTCGGGCTTAGAACAATGCTGCACCATCATAAGTACATAGGCTCGGATTTTTGAAGCAGTTCTCGCAGGTTGCACAACAGTACCATTATTACGTACTCCTCCTTTCTTGTGTCCCAAATGTGCCATGGAGTGATTGCCAACAATGTAGCTTGAAGTTTCAAAGAGAGTTGATAATTATGCAGATTTGTGAGTGCAGGCTACTTGGATGCATCAGTGTGAACTAGAACCGACCAGGATTTAGCAATATTGGTGCAAATACTTGAGATAATTATTGGATGACAAGAACAATCAAGATCATGACAAAACAGTGCAAATTCCATGTGCTTGACAACTAGAAAATCACGTGACACAATCCCACAATGGAAAACCATCGGATTGTCAACAGGTAAACGCTTTTCCGATAAAATACATCACAGTGAAGTTTCTGTGAACAAAATCACATAAACATATTTGGACATTCCTGCCGTATTCTTATCTGTAGCATCTGGCTTCCATTCCTCAGGTAAAACAGTGGTCCCTTGCTACAAAATCATACTGGTAGTATTCGTTCTAGGAAGGATAATCAAGAACTGAATAACTCGAGCATAGATAGCAAAACAAGTTTATTCTGTTGCAAATAGTTAACACAGCGGAGCGAGTTATTTTGATTTCTCTTTCTCTTTCTTCTGATCGGGGGCTCTTGACCCTATAATGCTACAGATGGGTTGATCTGGCGACTGAAGCAATTTCAGCGCCGGGTGGACTATCAGATCGCGCATCAGCAGTTTCTGCCCGACGTCCAACTCGCTTAGGTCCACTTCAATGTATGGCGGGACTATGTCAGCAGGGCAGAGAAACTTGACAGTTCGTTTTATGGTGTTGAAGTAAGCTCCTGCATGGTTGCAAATATAATCACATTAGCCTGGATTTTATTATGAACAATGTAACATCACATAATACAACAGGAATACAGCTGGATAAGGGCTGAATGCACAAGTCCTAGAGCAGTACATAATAATATAACAAAGGCAATGCTCATTCACCAGAGTTTTTTCAGAATATCAAGTTCAGCGTACACTGAATAACTGATCCACTCACCAGTATGAAATGATAAACACAGCACAGGTAACAAGAGCCATTAGACAACACTTAATTTGTTAGTGCTTTGCTCAACAGAGATGAGGCCTTCTCGCTAGCATACTTCAAGAAATTACCCCAAGTAACCTAAATATTGTTTTATATTATATGTAAGAGAACTGGCATGATGAAGAAATTGTTTCTAAATGATCTAGGGTTTGGGCCCGCTCAATTTTTATGTGGAAAAACCTGGAGAACTTTTCAATTTAGCATTCCAAGTTAGTGTTACGTAAGATAGATGCATCATCGGTATACATGTTACATACCTTTCCTGAGGCCAGGTGAGGCGTCCTCCCCAATGTACATTAAAGGAACATCTATTTTGAGCAGTGCCGAAGAAGGTGCTCTCATGAATGTCACATTCAGAGGTTCATCAGTGCCTGCGTGCAAGTGCACCTGCAAATATAGATATAAAAAAAAGTCAGCCAATAGATTCTCAGTACCACATTCCATTGATTCACAAATCCATAACTGCACCAGTTATTCTAACATACGCCTATAAAGAGCCATATAGGGTCAGTTTTCAACTGATATTGTAAGGTAGATGAAGGTATCTGGCTGATTTCTTGCAGTGAGCTAGAAAACCCAAGTATCTATAATTCATTAGTCAAGGAACCAGCTCCGTAGTAAGCTGGACAGTGTTCGCTGCTGCCAACATCAGAGATGGCGATTCTCACAATGCTTTTAAAAGCAGCCATTTCTGCAAGCCATTTGATTCTCCTACCTCAACGAAGGAAGGTTTATGTCTGATCCACATTGTACAAGATCGCACATAGGTCAGCATATTAATCAATTTAGTGTGGTATGAAAGGTAATGAGCACATTCCAGCGCTGTTTGGAATGCAGGAATTTAGCAAGAAACAACTCAATTTCCTTAAGAACCAAGGGGAAATGGATGCTCTATGTGCACTGCAACCCTTCATCTATCATGCTAACAAAGACAGGTAGATAACCAAATAAGATGGACGCTAACGATCACCCAAGAGCAATAAAAGGATGAACTGAATTTGCTTGCACCATGTTAATCTATCCTCCTCGGCACATAAGAAAAAACTTGTGTTACTTCGTCAAGAGCTTGGCACTTGGAATGGATGCTCTGATTCACCCTTAAACAAGAAATTGCAAGTCTTTCAAGATAATGAAGGCGTGCAACAGACTTTTCATGTTGCCACACCTGAGTTCACCCAGTGCCCATTTGCTGATAAAATATATCCTAAGGTAACACACATGGTGCATTTACTGAAGGGATAGTCCATTAGAATACACAACCTATCAACTAAACTTGCAGGTCCATTATTTTCCAGTATTTCACAGACTAGATCAAAATCTTACTTGCTACTAAGTAAGAACATTAGCAAAACAATAAACACAAACCAAGAAGCACCATTTTATTGTCTTGAATTGAGGTAGGAAACACTGTCCCCGAACAGAGTAGACTTACAGATCAACTAGCTGATTAGATCGCCGAACAATTAGAACTTTTCAATCAAAGGCACCTTCAAATTATCACTAATCAGGTTATTTGTTCCTCAATGGTTTTCTACTACAATGCAGTTCTCAAATTGCAACCTAAAACAGAAGTATTTCATTCCGAAATGCCAAGCCCAGCTATATAAATGTTTATCATGCACATTAACAAGCGCGAGACAAATACCGGGTTATTGTAGAAAATGTCGACCCTTGGTAGAAAACAAGGGCTCACTAACCATTAAGAGAACCCACCTTGCGCGGCAGGACGCGGACGCTCTCGATGAGGTCCCCCTGCCCGGCCTGCTCGGACCAAACCTGGAGACGGAAGAGGCGGGAGAGGAAGAAGGACCGTCCGAGGTGGTCGACGAGCTTGCGGATCTGCTTGGACGGCACCGAGACGAGGCGCTTGTTGCCGCCCTCCTGGCCATTCTCCTGCTCGAAGACGATGGCCGGCACACGCCCAGCCTTGCGTTCCTTGGCGGCGAAGTGCCGGCCAGAGGAGTCCCTCGGGACGGCGAAGATCACCTCGTCGTGCTTCGCGTCCGGCCGCGGGTGACCAGGGAGGTAGTCGAACGGCGGCGACAGGAGTTCGTCGATGTTGTGATCTGGGGCGGAAACCGCTGCGGCGGAGGCGGAGAGGTGCCGGCGGATGAGGGGGAGGGTGAGCGTCTGAAGTGGTCGCCGGAGGAGCATGGCGGCCGCCGGTTGGTCGTCGCGGGTGTAGGGTTTTTGGGAGGTGGGATGAAGAACGCAACGCGACGGTGATGATGGCCGACTTTGGGGGTTCGGCGAGAATGGTGATGGTTTAGGGCTTTGCGTGGGCTATGGGTGTTGGGCCTGAATGGGGAGCCCGTCGTGGGTAGGAAGGCCTTCCATTTTAGGGCATCTACAATGAGGCGTTTGAATCACCTTTGACGTGTTTGATTGCCGTTTGCTACAGTGCATGCATCGCATACACTTCTCAACCTAGCTTGGTTGAGCAAAAGCAAACCCTAATACGTCATCTGCAACTTGTTTGGTTGCCTGTATTTAGTGTCCCTGTATTAGATAATACGCAAGTGCATTTTGTTTGGTTGTTTGCATTGGCCCAAGCGGCACATGAACACGGCGTTTGGTTGCATACGACATACATGTTGTGCTTACCTTGTACCCTAGTTGATGAGCTTACCCACACCTAGCACACCAACGCCACAAACACAACAATGGGATGAACTGGGTGAAGATGATGAAATTCTTCAGCTTCAGCCCAAACTGACGATCCACCTTGACACCTTCAACCTTGCCACTGTCAACACTGCTACCTCCGTGCTTTCGCACCCAGTCGGAGTAAGCTTGTTCTGCTGCTTGCCTAGTCTTGAATCCTCTATGGTTGCTGTTGCTATATGATGCCACTTGTGCACTAGCTTCTTCCCATGAATTATAAATCTCTGAAACCTTAGTGATGAACACGGCATATCACTTGTCCTAGCAATGCACAGGAGCAAGAGTTGAAGCAGCAAATCAATGGAGCACACAAGTAGCAAGCAAAATAGCACACAAACAACAATGGAGCAGAAGAGAATAAGTAAAGCATGCATGATCATATGGCATAACAAGTTCTTCATAGCACTACTTTGGTGTTAACCTACCACCACATCCAAAAGAGGGCGTCGTCCTACCACCGCAAGTTCACCATCAGCGCGAGGGGTTAGTATATACCACCTCATCAAAATATACAGACCATCAAATAGTTTTTGAGCCCTAACTACACAAAATGTACGTCGTCGTCGTCATCGTCGTCGTCGCCACCGCCATCGCCGTCGGGGATCATGCACGCTCACAGGCAGCACTACTCTAGTAGTAGTGCTTGCCCAGCCAGCTCCTGAGCCATAGCACCCTGTGAGCGTCGGCCATGGCAACGAACCCAACCCCCTGGGCCTTGTTGTCAAGCATGTGGCTGAGAGCTGCCATGAGAGCCTCGTTGCTGAAGCCACCCTAGGTCATGACAACGCCATACAGGTCATGGTGGACGTCGAGAGGCTTGCACTCCCTGATGGCTGTTGCCACCTCCTTCACCGCCTCAGTCATGCTGCAAAAGACATTAATCTCCTCCTCCATCAGGCTTCCTCTCTTCCTCTTCCTATCATGGACGGGGTCAAATGGCTTGTCGAAGGGCTTCACGAAGGGCTTGTCAGAGCCATCAAGGACCTCGACGTCCGGTGTCTCAGGGAAGTCTGGCATGGGAGAACCAAGAGGCTCCCCCGAGCCCATGGCATGCTTCTCAGTTGCCAGCCCGAAAGAGAAGATGTGCTGCATCTGGCTGTAGTTCTGTATGGGTGTGTTGAGGAACTCAGCGTCCCTTGGGTGGTCCTAAGAATGAAACACAAGTGTTGTTAGTTGTGATTAGGGGTAGGCAATGGTGGATAGTATGAAAAGGAAGATGGATGTGAGCTAACCGCGACATGGCCGGCGTAGTGCTCTACCTCCAGAACTATGGAGCAAGTGTTCTCATCCCATGAGGCGCCGCTAAGGTCTCTTAGCTTGGACACTTGGATCCATCGACCGCTCCATTTCCTCAGGTGGTTGTACACCTGGGTGGCAGACACCTCCTGCCCACAGAACTCGAACACCTACTTCGCAACAGTGTTCAAGTGCACCTCCTTGAAGCCCTTGTCAGTCCTAACTACAGTAGAGATGAGCTCACACATCTTGTTCAGCACGAGTGTGGACATGAACGACTGCCACTTCATGTTGTTGGACCTACCATCCTTCTTTGCCTTTGCTGCTGCTACCTTGAGTGCAGCGGCGGCAACAGCAGGAGTTGGCTCAACAAGCACTACTGGCACATAGAGGGAATCAGACGCGAACACCTCTGAATCAGGTGCCTCAGACATAGGCTGCAAGTCCTGGACATACGATGGAGAAAACTGTTGTCGGATAGTACAATGGCCTGACTAAGATCTTGCGTCTGCGTGGTCATGTCCTACAATCATAGCATGCATTGACAGTAAGCATAGCACACAACATACCGGACAATCCATGAAAGCAGAAGCCTACATGTACATGGTTCATCACTATCATAGCAAGCACATGCTTCATCGCTATCATACTAAGCATACCGGACAATCTATGAGCAGGAACATACATCTACAACAAACATCATGCTACAAATGGACCACCAATAGCTACAAATCACAGATCTAAGCACGAATCAACACAAGCACAAGGTTCAACTTCAAACTCTACTACTAATCTAGCCTACCACATGCTTGAACATCTAGCCCTACCACAAATTGCAACCGCACCATAGCAATCAACCATATCAGCTCACAGATCAGACCACTAACCAACCATGCATCTAGATCAAACCCTAGCTGCATCTCAGATCTAGCTAGAAGGAACAGAGAGAAAGGGGGATTGAACTCACAGAGGCCATGGCTGCAACTCGAGGACGATGGGGGACGGTTGTGGAAGATCAACGCCGACCGGTGAAGGAGCGCCGACGCCGTGGACCACCAGCCGATGAAGATGCGCCGCTTACCTGCTCGTCGGTGCCGATGCGTGTCGGCGGGAAAGCTCAAATGGAAGGAGAATGGTGGCGGGAGTTGGGGCGGTGAGGGAGGGGCTAAATAGGGGTGGACTCGGCAGGAGGTGAGCCGAAATCCTCCCGCCAATTTTTTGGCGATGCGGGCGAGCTCGCGCCATCTCCATGCTCGCACGAGGGGAGAAGCGCGTCGCCCTCCCCTGCCTCGCCCGAGCCAGGCTCACGAGATACTACTGATTCGGGCGTTTCCCTTGGGTCTGGCCTGGACATGCTTTAAGTTCCGTGCGATGTGGGCCACACAGTGAACGCAGGCTACCAAACGGACTCAATCTTTCACGCATGGGCCAGGCTGGGCCATATGCAGGCAACCAAACATGTCCCTTGGTGCTCGCCGGGGTAAGAGCATCTCTAGCCATTGCCCCCCCCGGGCGGCTTGTAATCGCCGCCTGGGGCGAACCGGCGCTAAAATTAGCCAGGGGCTTTCGGGTTCTCAGTCGCCGGCCCCAGGGTCACCCCCAGAAGGCGTCTTTAATTTTTTAATAGGTATCGCCTAAAATTTGGCAAAAAACGGGACAAAGATTCGGCAAACATAACATAACTTAGGCGACTTAAATAGTTTTTTTACATAGGAACTTGAAAAAAAGGCCGCAACTATGCTGAAGAACGCGCTGAGCGCGGCGAAGTCGTCGCCGTTGTCCTCGTCGTCCTTCTCCTCCTTCATGCGGCCACCCCTGTTGGACCCCTGCCCGGGGTCACCCTGGCGGACCGGTGGCGGCACGTCATCGTCGTTGTCGTCGTCGAGAACGATGACGCCTCCCTCGTCGCGGCCACGATGACGAGCGGCGATCTGCTCTAGGGCGCAGCACTGGCGCTCCAGCTCCGTCCGCGCCCAGTCTTCGTGCGCCCACTTCAAGGTCGCCGCGTCTGAGGGCCCCAACTCTGGCTTCATGGCGGCGAGCCCTGGCTCTGTCTTCACGGAGGCGAGCCTGGGCTCCATCTTCACGACGGCGACGATCCCTGGCTCTGTCTTCGGCTTGACGAAGCAAGGAGGAGCCGAGGAGGATGCGCGCCCGCCCTCGTTGATGGCGATGCCGGCGCTGCAGGTGCGACAAGTGGGATTCCCACTCGTGCAAAGAGTGACAGCCAAAGCCATTGGCCACCGCCCCATCACCGGGGAAACGCTCGCCCATCGTCATGGCTGGGCACGGGAATAGAGGGGAGGAACGCCGGCGGCGGTTGCGCACGGGAAGAGAGAGGCAGAGCTCGGCGGCTGTGGGCCGTGTGTGGCCACATGCGAGGGGGTGGCGTTGCTTTATAGCGGTCGGGGGGTGCGCGCCGTGTGTACGTGTGGTGGGAGGGGGGACGTCGCCGCCCCGCCCGTGAGGAATCAATGGAAGGCTGACTAGCAGCAGCCTTGGCATTGATTCCCCGTGGGAAACTGAGGCGTTGTGAGGACGCCGAGGCAAGTGTCGCTGACTCGGCAGACCCACAGTTCTTTCGCGCCAAAATCGCTTGCCTCGGCGCCTCCGAGCGCCCCCAGAGCGTCGGGTTCGGCCTGGGTACTCCGACGTTAGTTTTGGCCCAAACCGACGAAAAATAGACTTCTGGGGGCGCGACTGGACCGATTTTTGGGCCCTGACGCGAAAAAATCGCCTGGAGGCCCTGTTGGGGGTGCGGCTGGAGATGCTCTAAGGGCGGCAAGGTTCGGCTGTGGCAGTTTGTCGCGACAGCCAAGGTAATTTCCAGGGCAGCTCTGCGTTGGTCATAGACGAAGTTTTTGATCCTGCAACTTTGGAAGTTATTGCATGTCGTGAAGCTATTTCTCTGGCGCAAGATCTCCATCTACATGATTTTATTATTTCATCGGACTCGAAACAAGTCATATGAGATATAGCGAAGGGTAACCAAGGAGAGTGTGGAGCAATCATCCACGAAATCAAGTCCAGATCAGCTCCTTTTGCTTGTAATTTTATCTTTCAAAGTTGTAATGTAAATTTAGAAGCTCATAGATTAGCAAGATTTGCTCTAAATCTAGCTCAGGGGCGTCATGTGTGGTTTGACCAGCCACATGACCCAGTTCGCATCAATAAAAGGATTTTACCCCTAAAAAAATCTGGTGCTCGCATTTATTCCTAGATTTATTTGAGGATTTCCGGCCATGCGCATTTAG